CGTCACCTTGTGTGTTATGTAGGTTTTCTGCCTGTAAACGCTCTGCGGTCACAAACCCTCAAAGTACACCCTGTAGCGAGTAAAACTCTAACACAGAAAAGACGTGTCTATGCTGCCCCAGACACCTCGTTGGAGATTTCTTTTTCAATTTTTTCTTCCGGGAACCAAGTGACGTAACGACGACCCTCCAAGGATTGGTCAAAATGGACCAATCCGTGGAGCCGTTACGTTACGTCCGCAGAGCCGTTACGTTAACTTCCTCACAACACACACTCATTCTTTTCTCAGCTGCAGCTCCGCCGATTTCTCCTCCCTGAGACGGCGGGACGCGGCGAGGCTGTGAGTCAGTGTGTGAGCACACACACAAACTCCCAGCCAGGCTGCGGGTGTGTGTGTGTTCGGGCTGGTTTAGCTGTGTCTCGCTGTCTCGCAGACGGCCACTGGGCTCACAGGGAGGGGGGGGGCAGGAGCTCCAACAAGCCGTTTAGGACCGAGAGTGAATACACATACTATACAGAGATGCTGTATGAGAAACCAATGTGAGTTTGGAACATTGCACAATGTAAATCTATTCTAGTAGACCTCAACAATGGAATTATGATCAGTAGAAATGGCCATGACATGGGACCTTTAAGACAACAACTGTGCCATGAGTAATATTACCTTTCCACAGGACAGTATATTAAGGGTTCAGTCAGTACATTTAAATCAATGCATTTTCTACATTTGCATTCTAATCGTCGGTGTGCCTGGAGCAATGCATTGGAGTTAAATTGGACCAGAGTGATGTATAACATTTCTCGGCTGCACAGAATCATACCTTATCAAAGTTGAGCGGAGCTATTCGGCTACCCAAAATAGTCCTGCAGTGCCGTGAATGCATAATGAGGAACGCACAGAAAGGCAAACGGGCATCCATTGGATTAAAATCATCACAACACCATTTTAGTGGAAATTCCAAACTTAATCACAAATATACAAGTTTAAACCGAAGTCTTGTTATTTAATAAAGAGTTATAGCATTTAACAGAATCCATTTCCAGCTGGAAGGATAGATAAGAAGAATCTGACAACACAAGAATCTGACAACATACTGTACAACAGAAAATATAAGGAAAGAAAACAAAGGAAAGAGGAAGGTCTCAGCAGGGAATTTACATTACAGGCTATTGAAGTGTTGGCCAGACGGTTGAAAGTTGCGTACATGGTAACAGAGCGGTGCAGGGATGACGTATTTACCCGGAAGTAAGCTGCTGGTTCCCTCGACAAAAAAGCAATGGGATTTCTCCAGAGGATTTTGGAAAGTATCTCACAATAAGGTCTGTGGAAAACGAACCTGTTTGATAAATGCACATTTTGTTCAGCCGGATAATCTCCACATGTCTACCCTACTTTTATAATTTTCGAATCATCAGTCGCCAGAAGCAAAATGCTAACGTTATGCTATAAAGGAACTACAGCCGAGTACAGCAGCACGACTTCAACGTCACGCCAATTTAAGATCCATATTCAAACACAGATTCTAAAGTGGACAAGTTGAAGCGTTTGTTTGAACAGTCTGCAGGAGGCAGGTACTTGCTTTCAAGCAGAACAGGGCAAACAAACTTAGCGGGAGTGTTTACGTGTTCGGCGTAATGACGTACAACGTCCTCCACGACTTCTGTAGTCCTATTCAGCCACTTGGTAACAACCATCGTTTTTCAGACACGTCAACTCTTCAGAAATCACCAGTGGGGTCACTGCTGATGGATGTAAATGTGTGTCAACCACAGACCTTATTTTGAGCTATTTTCCCAAATCCTATGGAGAAATCCCGTTGACTCTGAGACGAGGGAACCGGTAGTGGTAAAATGCTAACTCATTTCCGGGTTTTAGGACTCGTCACTGCACCACTCTATTGTGGGGTTTTCTTGGGGATATTTTCCTTATATCATGCAATGGTCTAAAGCAGGGGGGTCAAATTCAATTTCATCGCGGGCCACATTAGCATTATGGTTGCACTCAAAGGGCCGGTTGTAACTATATAACAGTATACATATATAAATATTATTATACTATACCTTAGTAATATGATACTTATATTGATATATTGCCTGAATTGGGATTATTCATGGGATAGGATAATAACTTAGTACTGAACTCGTCTGAAAGAGAAGTCTCTTCAGTGCGCATGTCAACGAAAACGACGATGNACCAATCAGAGCACAGTGGGCTCACAGGAGGGGGGTGGGCAGGAGCTCCAACAAGGCGTTTAGGACCGAGAGTGAATACACATACTATACAGAGATGCTCAGCATCTCTGTATAGTATGTGTATTCACTCTCGGTCCTAAACGCCTTGTTGGAGCTCCTGCCCACCCCCCTCCTGTGAGCCCACTGTGCTCTGATTGGTCAGCTCGCCCACTCTGTTCTGATGAGTCCACCCCCGTTACACCGGAACATCAGTGTGTATGTGTTACAATGGTGTTTGTTAGCAACCAGAAAATGACACCAGTAATGACAAACAGATGAGAATGCTGTTTACATGCATAAAAAGCTTCATAACACACAAGGGTACGGGTAATAACCGGAAAAGCATGACATGGGACCTTTAATGTTCTATAATGGCAAATATGTATTTTATGGCTGTTCTTGTTCATAGCAAATATATTATTATTTACTGTAATTATTTAGTTAGTTAAAGTAATTCTTTATGCTTTTATTTTGAAGGCGGTTTCGGGCACTGTGTGATTTGGAAACCTCATGATTATTATATATTGGAGATGGGGGGTGAGGGGATTCGTGCCCCAGAATGAGCATATGGTATTTTACCAGGGTAAGCTACAGGAAAAGCCACAGGTGAAATCATTGTGCCTTTCTTTCCTGAACATCGGATAATTTCCGCCCTGCGTAAGATTTTCTTACTGCCCCAGCGACAGTTTTATTAAGAGCTACGTTTCGGTGATATTTCTTTATCTCGCCGCTACAGTGAATAATCTGACTTTCCATTCCATAAGCCTTCATCCCTGTCCCTAGTGTCTGATCACTGCTCCACTGATCCACCTCTAGAGGACCCACATCCACTGCTCAGCACGTTCAGCTACTTCAGGCCAAATGCTGACTCTTAAATGTGTTTTTCTAATGCTCTCACTCACAGTCCATTCTCAGGAAGTCGTTGAGCAGCTGGAAGAGGGGGAAGCTGTCCCAGCTGTCGGGCGGCTGAACCTCAAGAGCTGCGTCCATGTCGGCCGAGTACAGACACAGGAAGGTCTCTGCGTGCTCCACCATCAGGTCCGACCACCAGGCGAAGGCCTTCAGGAGGAGAGAGGAGCAGACACAGAGGAAAGGGAGACACAATACAGGGAGTGGGAAAAAAAATCCAAAAATTGAGAGTGAAAGAAAGGAGACAAGTTCTACAAAGAGAGATGTAGGATCCCCAGGGGCACGTCTTCAGGACTTTAGGGTTAACAATGAATCTTTGTATCCAAAAAGCTGATCACGTAATGTAACTCCACTGATCTAAGATCAGTTCAGGTAAGGACCTTTATTGATCCCCGTGGTGAAATGCAGGTGTTAAAGCAGCAACAGAATAAGAGTGAATTACACTGAGTTCACACAAAGATAATGAAGAAAAAATGAAATGATATAAGTATCGTTAGAAACAAGGTATCACAACAACAAGGTCGAATCATCTGAATGAACATATACATATTCGAGTTTGGATTGTTAAATAAATGGACTGTACTTATACAGCGTTTACGACCCCTCAAAGTGCTTTACATACTACAGCATACAGAGCAGTGCACCTTGCTCTACGACCTAACACTCATACACACTCACACACACACACACACACACACACACGCTCACACACACTCTCACACACACACCGTTGGCCATCGGGAGCAACTCAGGGTTAAGTATCTCGTCCAAGGATACATCGACATGTTGAATGCACAGGCTTGGAATCGAACACACAACCTTCTAGTTGAAAGACGAGAACACTCCCTTGCAGCCACAGTCTCCCTGTATTTACATGGGTGTGCAGATGTGAGTAAAGGTCAAAGTCGATTGTACAATCTGTGATCTTTTGCAAACGCTCCTGTCTCTCTCTTTCTCACTTTTCATAATATGAAATCAAGTTGTTGCCACTGCATGATCTCCGGGGAAGCATTCTTCACAACTGAAAGCGGTAAAAACGGTGCTTGAGCACGGAGAATAGCCTGCTTTCTGTGGGCCCTCAGAGGAGCACAGCAGCTCCTCCACAGGCTTGGCAGGGAGCTTCTTAAACACTCACAAGCTCCTCCAGCCAGGGGGCTGCGTCACGTTCATATCTCCCCGCAGAACAGACGCAGTGGAGGGACTGCTAGGGACAGCCTCTCTCATGCACATCAGAAACACTCGTTCTCCTCCATGCACCCCCACGCAGGCCAGGCCTCTTAAGAGGGACCCTTGAGGTACCATGGTGTTTGCTCATTCACATCAAGCTGTCAACACTGTAATGTGAATGAACCCATGGGCTTAGTTGCTGGTGGTAGTGGAAGGGGTCGGGCGGGGGGTGGGCATGCACTTGCCATGAGATCTCATAGCAGATGTATGTGTGAGAAAGGTGCGTCTAGTCTGCGCCACTCAGGTAATCATCTTTAATACATTAGAAAAAGAAGAAGTAAAAGGATGCATCAGGATGTTTCAAAAAGCTGCTCTTATAACTTTGATATATATTTAAGTGATACAAATGTTTGTCTCCTCCAAAAAATGTGTCTGCAAACATGGGAGCCTTTTATTGGATGTCTGCATCAAGGAACAGTTAAATCCTGCACATACAGTACCAATGGGAGCGGTTAAGTGGATTTGTTCACAGATAATCTGTCTCATGCACAACTGTCAGGATATAGTGACACTATAATCTACTTTGAGTAGATATGTCCGAAATGTGTTTTTGAGATGAAACTGCCTCACCATTTCATTCTTTAAATCATGTCTGGGAAAGCACTCTCCTCTAAACACTTTCCTGTCGGTCCACACTTGTTCTCTGCAGTAGACAAAGATTAAGAATTTAACTTGTTTCCTCTGTCGCGTCTCTATTTATCTACCCATACCAAGATGGAAACCAAATTTGATCACACATTAACCTGGTGGGCCTTCATCCATTTTGTTAGCACGAGCCAAACGAAGCTGTTGCAGAACCATGTGAAACACAAGTGCGGGTAATTGAGATACATGTATGTCTTAACATTGCAAACTGCTCACACACACATGTTTACACTGGCTTGCGTTCATATTTCCCAGAGCAAGCAACAGTGTCTTTGAGCTCTTGCATTGATATTGATAACGTTTGTATTCATTTAAGTTAATGAAAGAAGAAAAGAAGGGGTTTACGCAATATTCATATGTTCTTTAAGGGTCTCTACGTTTTTAGTGTCTCAGATAACTCACTCAGATAATTCGCTAAATCAAATGTGGATGCTCAGTCAAACAATGACCCTCATGCTGCTGCCTTACCTTTCATCTCAAGTCAAAACAAATGATGTTATATTTCTGGCAGTGACATATTAGCAGAAACAAGACAAATCCAAAGTTCGTCCATCACATGCAAGAAGCAGAGACTCAAACTCTGAACTTGAATCTGTTGCTGCAACATTTATGATCATTTGGACTGTTTTCTATATTGTATTCCCATGTCATGCATGTGTGTGGGTGTTCAGTCAGCCTTAGCCTGAAAGATCAGAGCTACTGAGTTAAGACTGTAAGCCTGAAGAAGATCCTATTCTCCGTACGCTCTTAAAAACCTTTAGCAGTCTGAACATTTATGATCTCTTATGCGTTTCCATAAATATACCTATTCTGCAAACCTTTCCAAGTGCTGTCCTTGTTTAGGCAGCTTTTAGATGCCATTTTGTTTGGAGACGCCCCTTTGAAACTCACTGTACAGCAGGAATACTGGCTTACAGTGGCAGGTCAAGAGTTTTCGAGATGTAGGAACACAACCTTAAAACTTGAGTATTGTTAATCATCCTGCGTCAGATTCACTCTTTCTTTTGGACAAAATTGACAAAGTAATCAGTATAAAAGTATTGAAGTTAAAATGGATGATTACATGAGAGGCACACAATAGAGCTAGTTAATAGGATGAGCAATAACCAGCTTTAGAGCTACAAAAGAAAAACATGTATAAAATTGCATTGCAAATACATCTAATTGAATTGCAATAGGCCTGGGTCCCTAGCTGTTCATTGTGTATTCGTACAAAAACAGAAATGCAACTGATAGCAGAAATGTTCAGGTAGGAGTCTAATGCTGGTTCCCCTATGTGCTCACATCATTAGAACAGCAGCATAATGCCTCTCATGGAAATGCAAGGGGATTGGTCATGTTATCTCTGATCACACAAAGCATGCCTCGCATTTCCTCCATTGTGTGTGCTGGTGGAACCAATGGAGAGGAATGGGTTTCTTTAACGAAGGAAAGGTGACACAACACCTTCCCCAAGCTACTTACTGGACTTGGTAGAATAAATGACACATGTCTAAACACAGGAAAACATGTCAGCATTTTCAGGGGAAATGTTGGGTAAAGCTACAGAGGTGTAATGTTTGAGACACAAAGTCAGAATCAAAAGTCACAACTCTGCACTTTGTTTCCTCAAAGCATAGCTTAATGAGTTCAACAAATAAAATACTTGTTTAAGTGCTTGTCTATTTTCTTTAGCATCAATGGCAAACGTGCTGCTAGCTTAGAAGCTAACAAGCATTGTCACAAGCACTTGATTAGAAGTGACCACAAGCCAAAAGAGATTATGGGTCAATGTTGAGAGAGGAAACTTGAATGATCCTCTACAACATTAGCCGGATAATTTGCTGCATGCACAGAGCGTACAGGTAGGGTATAGGTAGGGTAGGGGGTGGGGCATAAGGCACCAAGATGATCACATACCTCTTTTCCCTGATCAATCATTTCCCCGCAAACCAAACAAATCATTGAAATACAAAACAGAGAGGAAATAAGTCAATTTTAAAGGACAAAGTGACACAAAAAGCATGTTTTATAGTGAGGTAAAAACACATTCACAGTTTGTGCAATCAGTGGCTGAGATGGCTGGTGGGGACACACACGTCACTTCTCATCGCTTTGAATTAGCCCCACATCTTTAGTCCCACTACTGCTCTGAACAGCCACTGCTCTTTCAGTGTGTGTGTGTGTGTGTGTGTGTGTGTGCGTGCGTGCGTGTGTGTGTGTGCGTGCGTGTGTGTGTGTGTGTGTGTGTGTGTGTGTGTGTGTGTGTGTGTGTGTGTGTGCGTGTGCCTGCGTGCGTGTGTGTGTGTGTGCGTGCGTGCGTGCGTCTGTGCACTGACCTCAGCATGGTGTTCCTCGTTCTGCTGCAGCACCTCGATCACCAGCTCGGACAGGCGGATATTGTCCTCCAGTTTTTTAGCAGGTGTGACTAACCGCCCTACATTCTCTGGAGCACAAAGGTCAAAGGTCAGTGGAGGCAGTCTCCGAGTCTGTATCTACTATGTTTTCTTTCTCATGCTTGTACTACTGTATGCATTCAACCAGTGTGCAAACACATCCCTCAAACACTAAAGAGTGTCTCGGGTCATTCAGTATTTGCTTTAAAGAGGAACTCAGCATGCATGTTCTGCTGCCTACTGCAGTCACTCACTAATGTTGGTTAAAGCTTCTACAGTGATCCTTAGCACAGTCTGCAGCCTTACACTCAATCACTGGGACGATCTAGTGTTCATATTGTAAATACAAGCATGACATATCAGAATATTATAATTAGGGCTGGGTATCAGACCTCAGTATATCTCTGTCAGACCATTCAAGTCAGATAATGGCTAAATGTAATAGAAATGAACATAAATTGTGTTAATAGTACCATTCATTTTCTTAAGGGGAAGTTCATTGTCTACATCAAAGTATTTCTACCTAGCCCTAGTTATAATGTAATCCCATCGTAACATAGTGTTAAAGCGTTGTTGCTATCAACACTATCTCCATGAGTGCTGAAAGCCCTGCTGGATGTCTGGAAGTAGTGCTGGCCTGTGTAGTGACCCATCTCTGTCACTGACAGAACACTGATGATGTCATAGAGATGACGGATGCAAACAGCATGTACATTCAACAGTCATCATGCAGGAATGTGGTGGTTATGTTGTGCTTATCCACAGAGTAAACAACGTTATGTATTTGGTGGGGAAGTTGCATGTACTTGCTATAAGAGTAAGTGGAGGCCTATTGTCATTCTGACTTCCATATACCCTTCAGTATGTTCATTGAAAAAAATCCATTTCTTCTTTGTTAGTGAATTTGTAGGATTAGGATTGAAGGTGAGTTTCCTATTTTAGAAAAAAGTATATGATTTGATGTTGCAGTGTTTCTTTCGGCCATGAAACTCATGTTGAGCTCAAAACAACAACTTAATACATGACGACAAATGACCTTAACTGGGGCCCAGAGAGCAATGCAGTGAGAAACCAATCAGCAAGATTCAAATCTGTTTGGTATTACCAGTGGCCGGGTAATGTAAGAGGTATGCTAAGTAAAATTCAGAAGTTTTAATGAATTAATTTCTTAGTTTTAAACATAGTTAGGACAGTTTAATGGGTCAGATGTTAGAAAACTAGACATGCACTAAAAACCCCAAAGTATGTGTGCTTTTTGCTGTGTCACTCTATGTCAGCACTGTCGTCCTGCTGGATAAGAACACATGTGCACAGTTTCTTACGCAGGTTGAATTGGCCCACAGAGTTCATGAGTGTTTCAGTCCAGCTGCTAGCTGTTGTGGCTCAGTGGTGTTGTGGACAGCACAGCAGGAGGATGGAGGATTGCCTGCTGGAGCTTAAGTCATGCTAACATGCCTGAAAGCTTCTAATGAATACAACTTCTGTCCTGGTACATAAGGGGGGATTGTTAGGATCTAATAATGTCTTTCAACTGAGAGCTATTATGTCAGAGCTTGGAAGTGCAGAGGTGGAAACAAAGAAGTATTCCATAGAAAACAATTATTGTTTTTCTATATTTAAAAAATGTCTATAGACTCTTACTTTGTAAGATCTAACCAGGACAGTAAGTGGAGAGCTTAATTATGTGATCCTGAAACAGGACTGCTGATAGTGATCATCATTAAACACTTCATTAGGATATTTGACATTTTATGACAAATATTTCTGACATGTTGGAAGTTTGCAGGTCTTTTCACTCACAACGTTCCTGAAACCTGAAGTGTCTGTGTTTGCAGAGCAAAGTACAGGTATCAGGGAGGTGATGACAGGGTCTATGGGGAAATGGTTTCAGATAGACTGAGGAATGAGCGAACAGCAGAAGTTAGACATACAGTACGTCACCTGGAACCTTCATCTTTCTGACATTTCTCCACTAAATAAGAGTATTTGTATTTAGAGAGATTGGAGAGGAGGTAGAGAGAGGTGGGAAAGTCATAGAGGGTGAGAGAGAAGATATTTTTCAAAACAAGTGGTATTTAGTCGGATATTAAATGTTTTGTCTTTACTTGTGATTTATGTAAAGAAGTTAGCAAACAGCACACAGCATTAAAACCCGTAAAAATTCTTGTCTAACCTGATTCCAAAGTAATTTCCCTTGAAGGATTGAAATTAATTAAAATGACATTTTAATAAGTGCAGGACATGGGTGTCCTGTTTGAATGTACCGTGGTCTTACAAACTTAAAGGATTCACACACAAGCAAAGTAAAAATGCATTCAAGTCGCAGACAGAAAAAGAAAAGGTGTTTTGTGCCGGACAGAAAAGAAAAGAAGCTCACAGAGAAATTAGAATGCGTTTTGAGTGGCTGAGCAACAAACTACATGTAACTGTAGACTTTACAGACGCAAACAATAGATGGACACAAACCAAAGGACGGCAGGAGCGTCAAGAGTGTGGGGTCACTTGTTGATGGCGTGCATACTGTTGTAGAGAAACATATAGGGTGCAGAGGAGGGGGGGGGCTTGGGAATGAGGAAAGTACTCACGAATGGTTAAATCCATCACTTGAGACGCCAAGCAGAAGACAGGATGCTCATACATCTCTCTTTTTTTCCCTACAGAGAAAGAGGGAGGATACCGAGGCATGCGAGAGCCGGGGTCAGAGAGGCGGGGTCAGAGAGGTGCGGTCAGAGAGGTGCGGTCAGAGAGGCAGGGTCAGAGGGGCGGGGTCAGAGGGGCGGGACAGAGGGCTGACCCAGGAGTCGAACCTGCTCTCTTTTGTTCTACACATGTCGTGCCATTAAAGTACATTTTTATTTAGCTGATTGAAATAAAACATGTAATATCTCAAAGGTGTTATAAGTATCATTTTGAGATTTGTAAATATTATTACCAAAGACTGGTTTCCTTTATACTAGGTCTACTAGATTCTGTTCTTCTGATCCAACACACTCTCACTCCATAATCGTCCAGGAGCGACGTTTGGTCAGGGTCCCGTGGCGTGCAGTTGTGACGCTCCTAGGCTCCTTCAGCTTCATAAAGGAATGCAAATAGCTTTCAACTGATTGCAATGTATTCCCATCTGCGGCGGGATTTGACGCTCATGGAAGCACGACATTAGTTTGTGTCGGCTGCCCTTAAGGCAATGTGATGTCCATTCACATTGGATAACGGAGAATTGTACACCCGGAAGTAAGTATTCCCCTTACTGTCGATTGATTTTACAGTGATATCTGCACTACTCATCGACTAAAAAACACCAGATTATCCTTGTTAATTACACAACATTGATTGGTTTAAATTGTGTGCAATGCTTTTGTATTTTTCCCCTTCGATTCGGAGAAAAAAATATTTTTTTGTAGTAAAGGATGGCAGAAGACACTACACTACCCAGAATCCCCATTTATCGTTTAGGACTACACCTTGTGCTCTGTTTGACAAACCCCGTATTAGTTCTCAAGCTCTGTGATTGGTTGACCTCCAACTGCATTCCATATAAAAACGTTTCGTAAAAGATAAAATCATACTTTATTCAGCAGTGCTTGCTTTACTCTTTGAAAGTCATCACATGAATGCATTGTAATAAATGGTTCGGCTGCATTAAATATATTACACATCGTTCGTAGTTCTTTATTTTTATTTATCTACACGCAGTGGTCACCAACCAGTCGAGTGTGGTGCGGGTAGATCGCGGACCGTTAACAAAAGAAGTAACAAAGGAAAGAAAAAAAAATAATAATGTTTGAAAAATATGTTTTTAGCGCATTAGTGCGTCTATGTTAAAACGTAACACCGTAACGATCCTCTTAGACAGATAGAAAAATAATAAACTAAAAACAACCAATATACAAATTACCCACAATCCAAGCAAATAACGACTGCCATCACTCGGAGACAATGCGGGTCACGTTGACATGTACGACAAACCAGGTTAGTCGCGTTTTCGCATAAATCAAATTAGTGTGGTAGACGGAGTATTTACTAGCAATGAGAGGGGGAAACACAGTTAAGTAGCAGTAGTTAGAGGTGGTAAGTGCTTACGCAATAATTGTTTAATCCTCGGAACTTATGTACCACAGATAATTTTTATAATCATACATCTAAACAAAACAACACAATAAAGACTCACAACGAACGAAAAGTGAAACTTCACATAAAGTATTCCAGTGAACATTATGTTGCCACAAGCCGACTAAATTTTATAATGTGTATAGACGGCATAAGTAGATAAATATCTCAGGGAACTACTCTTCTGAAGACCCTTTGTGAATCATGACGACGCGTGTGACTTTGCACACTGCACCTAGTATTTATATGAGTGGCGTGTAATATTTTGTAGAATAAGTAAAAGAAAATGGTGTGTTATTTGCTAGATAGAGAAACGGTCACTAGTATTGTAGCTCTGTCATGACTGAAAATTTAACACTAGGTTTAACCATCTATCCAACATAACATTGATGGTATTTCCACGTGTCGACTATCTATTCCCTTGTCCACCCAATTCGTACAATAACTTAAAGTAATAAAAATAATAACTACTAATTTTTACCTACGGATATTCATATAAAGTAATTAGGCAATAAAGAGATGATTATCAATAATTCTCTGACATATAGATACAGATAAAAACGGTGTAGGGAAAGTCTAACAGTTCTAAAAGATTCCAAATAACTTGTATAATAGTTTTTAAGGTTTCTCACCTATCAATAACGTAAATGCTTTACATATTTGAACCCAGCGTCCAAGGAGTTATCACGTAATGTTTCTGTAGATAGTTATAAACACGGTATGGAGGCGTCTTACAATTATACAACTTCGTGAATAAAATTGACTAATAAAACATGTATAAGTGATATGAGGATATCCTACATACATTGCTTATAGAAGTAGAGGCCGGAACAAGTCCATAACTTGTTAGGTATTTATTTCTTGGTGTATTATATAGATTTATATTTTTGTATGTCTTAAACCATCACTGATATGAGTTTACTAGAATGTTTATTTGTGGTGAGCGTTATTAAATTTGACTAATGTTTGTACGACGTATCATTTTGCGTTATACAAGGTTGAACCTAGCTATTCATATAGAATAAAATTCTACTAGCTACCTGATGACGGGTATAAACGTTTTAAACGTAGACTGAAACTGGTCCACGTTACAAATCCGAATAGTTATTACATTACATTTTTACAATAGTTAATTGTTGTCCTCCCCAGTGTTTGTATTTCTGGTCGACAATTTTATTTCGAGAAGACTGAATCCGACCGTACACCGCATATATTATAAAAAAACAACATTACGACGGTAATTATATCCCTGATTCAATCGTTAAAATATAGTGTGTAAGAGATAAATAAATTAATAAATCAGACAACACCCAAGGATACAATAGGATAGTTACTGTCCCTACATGTGTCATATGACCAGTTAAGAATAATATTTTTCCCTTTATAGCTTATGCAGGAAAAATTGATGCTGAGCGGTCCATCTCTGCGCCACGAGTATCTATCTCCTTGTACAAACAGCATAGATCAGTGTTATAGCAGCTATCGTCGCATGGATCGTTGTCATTGTTCAAAAATTATATATATATTGTTCTGTAATCTTTTTCGTAAAAATTTGTCAGTAATATTTCGTTGTGTGATGGACGTAATCGTAATGACGATATTGCACTCGATTATTGCACGAAATTAGTCATCCAGCCAACCCAATTTTTCGACAGTCAAATGTCACAAATTGTTTTATTTTATATGACTACAATGAACAAATCAAATGCTGCCTATGTCATAATATTCAATACAAATAACTATAAACCATTGTGTTTTGCTACCTTTTTTGGGTGTCGTTGTGTCTTTCTCTACAGAATTGTACTGGGTCGGCAGCATCACTAATTATTTTCTGTTATGGATAGTTCTGTCTGTTATCAATGATGATACTTTCATCACACTTTTAGAGTTGACTTGCCATTTTATTATCAAAAGGCAGGATAAGACCTCCGGCTAGTCACAGACATCTAGTCCACCAGTGGTTTGCGAAAAAATTCGGTTCTACGTGGCTGAGCCGGATTCCACTTTCCGCTCTAGATGGATAACGTCTTAAATCACTTTTTCTGCCGGTCTGCCACGAAGGTTAAACTCCGGAAAATATATCCGATTAACGTAGACTTAATGACAATGACTTACTTCCAAGGTATTAGTCGAGTGTCGTATAATCCGTCCCGTCGCGGTAATATCCTATCGACCGTCCCCATTCTCACGATACACGCTCACCCCCCACCGGCAGTGAAGGAGCTCCCCCCAGGAGTGAAGGAGATCTCCAGGCAGTGAGGCAAGATCCCCCCAGGTCCCCCTAAGAGGGGGCCCTTCTAAAAAAAAATTATAACTTCTACTTTCGTTAGTTAGCCACGTGAAACTCCGTTGTACTTCTCTAGATACCTAAGTATGAGAGGTCGTGGGTATACTCTGTCTTGACAATTTGTCTAAAAGAAAATTGACATAAGGAACAAAATGACGGTATATCATAAAAGTATGGACAAAAAGTAATAAGAGAATAACAAACATATTGATATTACTAGTAATACTTCCACATGGTACGCCTTTATTAGAAACACTTTATTAAACCCTGTTTTGGCAAGTTAGATTTGTGAGTCTCAGGAAATCGAGTGGACTCGGTGGAGTCAGACTGTCCCTTTTGTCCCTTTTGGAGGTCGACCAACACCTTTGTCGAGGAATACAGGCAATCACGTCGATCGATTTGGTCTACGATTGTTAGTGCCAGGGCGGATCGTGGCCAAGGAGAGAGAGGAGAGGGAGGGAGAGCGGGAGAGAGATATAGTGATTTACACGATAACGGTGTGTGGTGTGTGGTGTGTGTAGTGTGTGTGTGTGTGTGTGTGTGTGTGTGTGTGTGGTGTGTGTGTGTGTGTGTGTGTGTGTGTGTGTGTGGTGTGGTGTGTGTGTGTGTGTGTGTGTGTGTGGTGTGTGTTGTGTGTGTGTGTTGTGTGTGTGTGGTGTCCTCTCCTCTCTCGGGACTTACTGGTCGGTGTGCACATAAAGGTCGGTGAAGTGACTAAGCCAGACCACTGAACGGAGAGACAACGTAAGTGACTTGTGCCCTTTAACGTCAGGACGCCAGGGAGAACAACAGTTACCTACTCCAAGTGCCATTTGTGCTAATTACATAAATATGAATAAACTCGCACAGAGTTTATATGCAGTAGTTCCACCGTGGACGATTGCCCCACCACCTACTATA